CATGAAAATGTTAAGAATTTGCTCTCACTGACAGTGTCGAACCTTAGGAGATGAAAACGGTTTGACAACAGTAAAAATAGCAAGTAGACAAGGAAGAAGGAGCCAGCAGTACCTAATGAGCTTTACATAAATATATGCAGAGGCAATTAAGCAATGTTAATTACTATGACAGCAGTTAATTGAATATAATTAGATATTTTAAGCCATTGAATAAAGCACAGTTAAGATTAATTTTATTGAGATTAATTGTAAATAAGGATAGATTAACTCTGTGTTTTGACAGGCATAAAAAGTAGTTCTGCAGATTAAGCAGAAGCATGACCGCCAGTCCAAAAATCATATATTATTTTAATGTCACACCTCAGAATCATCTCCTCAATAAACATAACTTTTCAAACCCAAACAGACAGGAATCTTGAAGAAAAACAAACAGCTTGCAGAGATTAAAGAGCCTTTTGTCCTTTTTCATGTGCATTTCTTTTAACAGACTAAATTAAGCGAGTCTGGTGTACGTTTTTTAGGAAGGAACATTTCACACTGAATGGAAAAAATGTTCTATCACATATGAAATTTGTGCAGCTGTGCGGAACTTGGTCCAGATGGTTTTAGACTATAAAACACCACCAAATGATAGACAGTAGGCCTTCCCAAGATTATGTGATAAAGTCACAATCTTTTATTTTGACCCCCTTAATTTCTGCTTTCTATTATTTGCAACCAAATTACATATTTTCTTTCACGACTGTGTTTCTCCAAGAGGGTTAAAAGAAACACTGTGCCTACTGAGTACTAGAAATAAATGTAAAAGGAAGGAAAGGCCTCCTTTCACAGATAGCAACTAAATCATTTAGCCACAAAATGCCATGATAGCTATGACAACAGCATATGTAGATGACAACACTTGAATATGACTCTTACAAACAATGGTGTCTAGAAATATTTCTTAGAAAAATACTGCTGAATGAAAATCCCTCCCAAATACTCTCACACCCAGCTAATCTATGCCTAGTCTTTATGAAAATTAACAAAGTCCTCAAGAATGCTGAACAAATCACTAATAAGAAAGGCACTTCAATTGATTTTGAAATAAATCAATAGATGATTAACATAATATTTTTAAAGCAGCAGGTGTATGTGTGTGTATAACAGAGACATATATATTATGTGTCCAATACCTCTTCATCAAACAAGGGTTTTATGACACTAAGCCTGCCTCACAACTTCTTTGGGGTGCCCTTAGTCTTTACAACGAAAATCCTAAAATGATCTGTGAAACAAGACTACAACAAGCTATTTTGCAGTGAAAGATTTTAAATCATCCAGCCTCTTCTAATAGACTTGAGACTTATTGAGGTAGAAACCATAAAAAATGAAGAAGGGAAATTTAATCCCTGAAATATTGATTTGCACATTAATATCATATAGGCAGAGGGCAATTTGGCTTCGTGGAAATGACACATTGTCGACCCTTGGTGAAGTCAGAGCCAATCTAACTGCTGAACATGTCTGAATCTCAAGAGTTATTAAGGGCCTCCCTTCTTGCCTTTATGACTTTTCTTCAGCCTACCAATGCAATCTTAAATGTATTATCTTTAAGAAATAATTGTAAAACCTCAGGGGTTTTCCAGTTAATGGAAGGGAGGCCAAACCACATCAGATTCTGAAATGCAACATTAAACCCTTGCAATCAACAAAAGCACCTCAATTCTCATCCATCCAGTGCAGGATCTAATATTGTTATTAAAGATAATCAAATTTCATTGTGTAAATTTAGGTTCATGGTCAGAATGGAAGCAGTAAATTCTGCAATATTAAACAGTGATTTTCTCAGCCTCCTTTATGTTTTACTTGCTGGTACAGCATCTTCTCAAATAATTCATCTAGCTCAAAATTACTGAACAGGTTTAAGCTCATTTGCTAAAAACTGCAAAAGATGACAACAGAACTGAACAGGTTTCCTTCAGTTTTAACTTTAAGTGGCAACTTTGACTTCCTAGACCCAGAGTCCACTCTCCCTGTTTGGCCCCACAGTTGGTGCTATGGCTTTGACTTACACAGCTGGTTTACCTGACCTTTCTTTGTTCCTTAGGTACATATCACTTTTCAGATTTATGGTATTTCCCCCATATTTCATTGATTATATCTTCATTGCCATAATAATGTAAACACTTCAATATCAGCCTACTTTTTAAAATCCAAAAGCAACCAGCTATTAAACAAACACACAGTGACGCTCTCCCCAGTTTCTGCCATAAATATTAAAACCATTAAAAATAACTGTATAAACCTTATGATCCCCACACTGAAGCCAGGTGCAAGAGGTTAAAACAGCTGGCTAGCCATCTTTTATTTTTGTGTGCCTTCCTGCTGATTGAAACCGCAAACGTTGAAAACTATCAAATATTCCCTTAAGGATTTTTTTTTTTTTTGAGAAGAGGAAGAAAAGAAGAAAAACCTTCATTTTCTTTAATCTGCTCCTCTGTGGAGAATAAAAACTGTAAGAAACAATCAGTCACAGAGGTAGTGAAATAATCGTGAATATCTCCTTTCTGTTGTATTTAAACCATCATTTCCAACAACTATGTACAATTGTTTTTATTCTTCAGTTAGAAAACAGAAAAGAGGGAAAAGGAAAGAAAGAAAGTCGGAGCCTTCTCTGTCAGCTTTGCCAGTAAATATAAAGTAAAACAAGTGTTGATGGCACCGAGAGTGTTACATACCCGGGCTGTGTTTTTGCATTGCTCTCAATGGAAGCGATCGATGCCCGTGTCACTGTCGCGTCCCAATCGCAGCCAAGTCTCAGTCTTAATCTAAGCAACACCCGAAAAGGCAGCGGCAGCCGCAGCCTCTCCCTGACTCTTCCATCCATCCACCCAACTAAAAATATAATACTACATATGAGCTTTAAGCACTCCACGTTTATAGGGATCAAGCCACTGAAAATCCTGGAGAACACAATAAAAAAAAAAAAAACACAATCTCCTTCTGTCTCTTGTCTCTCTCCTCCCTCTCTTCCTCCTCTCTGTGCTCTCTCTCCCTTTCTCTCTCTCTCTCTCCCTCACTCCCTCTCTCTCTCCTTTTGCCATCTACATGATCCCTGATTAAACATAGAACAGAGTTAATAAAAAAAAAAAAAGGGGGGGGAGGTGGGAGGTAAGGACCCAAGGAGAGGAAATGCAACTGTCAGAAATCGGGACCGCCAGATTTCCTGGTGAACCTGCCTCTGTCTGAGTCAGTGTCAATCCACCATCTTCCGCCAGTGAACTTGTCTTTGGGTTTTTGTTTGGTTGCGGGGCGGGGGGGGGGCGGGTGTTGCTGTTGTGTGTGTGCTTTTTTGGGGAAGGGGGGAGGGGAAAGGCAAGGTGGGGGCTGGCGGTGGGGGGAGCAGAGAGAATGTGTGTGTCTGTGAGTGTGTGTTGAGTGTGTGTGTGTGTGTGTACAGGGGTCGGCTTGGGGGGGGGGGGGATGTCCGTGTGCGCGATCTGAACCTTTGGTACCTACAAGGAGGGTGTCTCACCGAACGGTAGCTAAGACCTCACCGGAACCGCGCAGAAGTGAGGAGTCGCGGCCAAAGGCATCTGCGGGAGCCTGTTCTCGGGTCCGGACCCCAGCCCGAGCGCCGACAGGAGCCCCCTGCCCGGATCTCAGGTAACAAAGAAATACACACCAAGTGCACCGTCTTCTGGGGGGAGGGGGCCAGGATGGGAGCCCTCTGTAACTTGGGCATCGGTGGAGAAACTTTACACGTTCCATGAGAAATTTTATTATTTTTTTTTCCGATAAAAAAGAGCAGCAAGAATGGGGGAGGGGGAGGGCGGCAGAAGTAGAAGGAAGGCGAGACCCGACGCGTTCCAGCCCTTCTGTCTCGCGCGGCTCCCGGCCAGAAGGCGCACTTGATGCCGGAGAGGCGAAGGAGGTGAAGTTCGTTTGCAGATCTGGAGCCGCTTTGGAAGGGCCGGGGAATAAATCAGTTCTCACAGCCGGCCACAATCCCCTGCCCCCACCCCCCCACACACCGCGTCCGTACACACACAAACACACCTTGCCCTCGGCCAAAAAGGATAGGAAAGATTCTGGACCCCGAGCCGCAAGCATCTGTGCTGTGGTCTAAGGCGCACCCGGCAGCCCGAGCGCCCGAGAGCGGCGGCCGCGTCTGGGTGGGTTCCTAGCCCCGAGGCCCGGCGATCCCGCCTCCTAACGGACCTGCCTTCCGTGAGCCGGCGCCCAAGTCCGCCCGCTCTCCCGCCGCCGCCCCTCGGCGCGGGTGTCTCCCAGCAGCCCTGGCCCAGCCCGTGTCCCGGCCTCCCCGAGCCTCCGCCAAGAGCGCGCGGACCCCGGGCCTCCGCCGTATCGGCATTAGCGCCCTTCGCGGCACTCGAGAAAGGGAAAGGGGGTGGTAGGAGGGGGGGAAACATCCAGATTGAATAAGGGGTGGGGTAGCCGGGAGAGGGGCTGGGACCCCACCACCCGATGTCTAAACTTTCGGAGGACGGGTGCGAAGGAAGGGGCACCGCATTCCGGGCGCTGGGCGAGCGAGGACCCCCGGCAGTGCCCGCGCCGCCGCAAGCTGACAGCCTCCAGCGCCACCAGAAAGCCCGGGCTCGCGGTTCAGACAGAATCCGAAAAGAGAAAACAGGAGAGCCAACTGCTCGGCCAAACGTGGGGATCCACCACTTAATCCAAAAGTTAAATTCCGAGAAACACAGCCCCCCAAAGTAAGTGGGAAATCAGGCCCCTCCGGGCCCCCTCCCTCCCTCCGCGGAGCAAATCCTCGAGCCAAAAAAAGGGGAAAGAGATAGAAAAGGGGGGCAGAGCGGAAGAGATGGTTGGGATGCGGGGACGTGAGCGGGAGCGAGCGAGCCGGGGGCTGAGGGAGAGGAGGAGAGGGAGAGAGAGCGAGCGAAATATCAAAGATTGTGCAAGATCAGGCTGGAAAGATAATCGATACTCGACCTAAATTTAACACAAACTACTCAATAAAAGTTAAAGAAAAAACTTACTTTCCATTTCCCCTGCAGTTCCTACGCGATCTTCGCCTCTTTTTTGTTTTGCTTTTATTTTACTTACAGCTGATCACATCCAAGTAAAACGAGAGGGCTCATTAAAAAAAAAAAATTAAAAAAATAAAAAAAATAATCCTCGAACTTTATTGGGTGAAAATAAAAACGCTGGAGCAGAAAGTGGGGGGCATGGAGCGGTCCTCGGGGGTCCGGGAGAGTTAAAGCATGTGCCCACCGCGGTCTCGCTGTTTGGTTGTGAAGGGGTTGGGGAAAGGAGGAAAGGAAATGAAAATCCGATATGTCTTTATTCTGCTAATTATTATCGTTTTAGCCCTGTTTAAAAAAATGGCTGATTAAGTTGAGTGCGCATGTCTTTGTGTGTCTATTCCCGATATGCACTCTGGGAATGAGAGAGGAGAGCGAGGGAGAGGGAGAGGGAGAGGGGGGAGAGAGAGGTGTAATTAGTGAGGTGATCAACATTCCCCAGACTGCAAATGACGCGCAGCCCGGACTCGGAGCAGCCCGGAGCCTCGCGGTTTCCAGGGCTCGGAGCGCGGCGGCGGGAGCCCCGGACGCGGCGACCGCGGAGAGGGCAGGGACCGGGACCTCGGGGATCGCACCCCACGAGCCCCTGCGCGCGCGACTCCTAAACTTCATTAGACACACGCACACACACTCAGCAGGGAAGGGGGGGGGGTCAAACCTAAACACCGCAAAAGCAATGCCCTTTAACCACTCTATTTTTTTTCTTTTTAATTTAATGAGGCAAAGTCATTATTAGCGGGAACAGAGATTTGTTTACTAGGGAGCTTTAAGCAGAAATGTGAGTTAAGGCAACGGAGAGGTTTGCTCAGCTTTGTGGATCCTGCTACGTACAAGAACGCAAGTTAAGGGCGAAATGCGGGGGCCGGGGCAAATATGCAGATATATGTAAATAAAGGGTGCCTGACTACGTGCAAAGACCGCTCTGCCCAGCTTGTTTCACAGGAGAAATTGCGCTCTACCACCCGTAGGCACGCTATTTAAACGAGTATCTTTTGCTTGCACACAGAGGGGAGAAAACACTGTGCAAGGAAGATGGAAGCGGTTAGTTTAGTCAAAGTAAACTTTTTAATAAGAAATGATTGCAAGGGCTATAATGGGGGTACGGTTCTAACTTTTATGTAACATTTTTTAATGTTTTATCAGAATTGCATAAGTTCAATGTAAGGGCTTTAAGAAGACTTATGAAAAAAAAAACCTTTAATCTTCTGAGTCTGCTGAATTATCTTTCTTGAAGCATATTATGATGAATTTTAAAACCCCACTACAGATCTCATTAGAATGAAATATACTTGGTATTTTCTGGTACAAAATTTAAGGTGGCTGATTCTCATTTGAAAATCTAATTATCTCTTTCCAATACTATAGATGTGAATATGAATGACACTTTCATTAAAAGATAATTAACTAAAACTAGGAATAGACATGCTTTTAAATACCCCCTGATGCTGTGTGTGTGTGTGTGTGTGTGTGTGTGTGTGTGTGGCCATTGTTACTCAGATAGCATCCTGATACACTGCTACACGACACGTCACAAGGAGACACCACCATGCAATATTTCAAAAATAGGAATTCTACAGAGAAAGTGAGAGGAACAAATTAAACAAGCTAAAAACAGAAAATACTTGCAACATCCAGCTTCCTAGACAGGTGAAGCATCAGTTGCTTTTGAGTTAACAGGCCTTTGAAGTTCTGGTTCGCTAGGATCTGCTTGAAGACCTTTTCTTAGGCACTAAGCACCAAATCGACCAAATACCACCAGAAAGTTTTATTGCATAAGCAGTAGGAACAACAGAGGCTGCAAACCTGCACCTTTCTGGCCTGAAACATTGTGTTATCAGGCAACATTTGAAAAATCCTAGGACTGATACAAACCGGATTAAAACCCCAACAAAACACCTGGAGGATAAAAGCAGAGTCCTTGATAGAGCACACCCAGGCCCAAGTCAGGAAAGCTGGCTAAGGTTCCAGTGAAAGTCCACAGGCTTGGAATAGTGAATAAAACCCAGATATGGTCTTTATTAAGAGAAAAAAGCAGAGCACCACCTCAGGATCTGGAGTCTGTAGATATACCAGTGCATTAGAACCAGGGCTACTAAACGTTAGCAGAAAAGCAAAGCACCCACGTCTCCAAAGATTCCATTCCATTTCAAACTTGTCGGCAAGAAATCTGCCCAAACTGGACAGCTTTCTAAGATTTCTAAGTTACTCTGTTTACAGCCCCACTTTGACACGGGGAGCTGTATATCCGTGTGTTGCAATGTCTGGTTGCATCTCATTGGTCTTTATCCATGTGCCTTCAGAAACATACATGCCCACGAGGGTAAAATTTAAATTCTCTGTAACTTGCAAGTGAAGAAGGTGTTTATGTAGCGTTACTGTTTACCGAAAAACACCCCAGAGAGCAAAAATTCTGGCTTTAAAAAACTATTTGAGATGTGTGTATGGGGAAGCAGGTGGGAGGCTTTTAAAGAGACTGAGGGGGAAATGAAGGCAGGGAAACTTTCAGGTTCAATTCAGAAAAGATCAAGCCCTTTGCGGGAGAGGGCTCCATGTACAAGCTCACTGATGGAAAAACCATTTCCTGCGATTTCAGACGGGTAAATGCGTGTGATGAAGGAAACACCTGAGAACAATAAGTCTGTTTCAGGCTCAGGTGAAGAAAGGGGTTTATTTCTGGCAGGGAAGAAGAGGGAAATGATGATCATTTCGTTTTCAAGTTCTCCTTTACTTCTTTTGCCTTTTTCTCCCTGAAACATCATCAATAACATTAATGTCATTAATGTCAAAACACCAAACATCAAATCAGGAAAACCGTTTTAAAAATTTGGTGGCTATTTCTCCTCTACGCCCCCACCTCCTCTCTTTTGAAAATACAGCTGTGGGTGGGGGGGCAGCGGTTATTGAATTATAAGAAAACAAAAGGAAGGAGGATTTGTAAGAGGGGCGCCCACTTTTACAATTCCTTTTGCCAGCGAGTATTCGCCTCCTAGCGTTATGTGTTTTCTTTTTAATCATCTTTCCCCTCTTTCCTAAGAAGAGAAGCTGGGGTGAGAGTCAGGGTTAATGGGCTGAATGGAAGGGGCAGAGAGGGACCAGCCCCGAGTCAAGAGTTTCCTCCAGGGCTCGGCCTGGGAGCGCGCCCGCGCTGGGAGGGAGCGGGGGCCCCAGGCAGGGCACCGCGGGCTGGGCCCCGAAGCGCAGAGCGGGGCGCCGAGGGCAGGGGCGCGGCGAGGCGGGCGAGCCCGAGCTCGGCCCTCGGGCTGCTCCGGGGCACGGGCATGATCTGCCCGGCTGGACCTGGCTGCGTCGCGGCCCCTCGCTGTGGGAAACCCAGCTGTTCCACTTGGGTCCCTGTGGACCCTTGGCCATCAACCTTTGACCCTGCCCCTCTTCCCCATTCCGCTATCGCTAAACTCTGCGCGAACCCGCCGCCAACCTCCCGGAACGTTGGGTTACTTTTTATTTCAAAGTGAAACGAGCAGAAGCGTCCTTGGGGCACCGAGAACTTTCCCTTAGACCCTCCTATGCACTTTCCAGGGCTACCTCAGCCAAACCGAGCCCACTCCGGGGCTCTCAGACCCTGCGCAGAACACCGAGTTAGGCGAGATCCCAAAAGGGACACCAGGTGGTTAGGTGTTGAGTGTTGGAAGCAAGGAGTAATTAACATTGAGACAAAAGGTAATTTCCACTTCCAGACTTTTCCTCGGCGTATTTTATTTCCCAAATCTATGCCTCGGACACTCCGGGCTTTACAATCGGTTTACTGAGTCTTCAGCTGTCTCGCTCCCCTGTTCACTAAGAAATACCCCAGCCCTCGTCCCCACGTGCTGCCAGCTCCAGCCCTAGGGGGAAAGGTTCCCAGTCTTGTGACCGTGCTTCCCGAGATCTACAGAAATGCTCAGTTTGAGACAAGGTATTACAAGATTTCAGCGTTAGGAACCCTTGACAACACCACAGATAACTTGAAATCCTCAGACTCCCTTCTTTTTGTTGGGTATTCGCCCCCCGGGGGCTATTTAACAAAGGCAGTCTGTTAACTAACATTTTTTGTTTAATTCAGCATCTCCTTTCCAAAACACACTTCAGTGTGATTCCAAGGTTTGTCATTTTGTGAGTGAGGAGGTGAGAAGGTGGGGGTCATGCATGTGTATAAGGGAAAGACATGAAGTTGACAGTGAATCAGAAAATGCAGGACTTCTTTGGGAAGGCGTCACAAACACATTATATTAATAATCAAATAATTCACGAAATCGCCTGGGAGAAAGCCAGATTTCTTATCCAGGAAAAAAAAAACAACAAAAAAATATTTTCCTGTGAACTAAAGAAAAGTGGGCATTTAAAATATAACCTAACATCCAGAGTGTGTACTCACTTTGATGGTGAGTGAACTAGATGAAATGAAATTCAGAAAGGAAAGGCATTTTGAGTGTGAGTGTGTGTGTGTGTGTGTGTGTGTGTGTGTAGTGTAGTGTTTGTGGGCAGCCAAACCTGCCTTTCAGGGACTCCCCTCCCCCAACCTGGCTCTTATCCCCTTTGTATAGAAATACCCACCCACCACCTCCCCTTCTCTAACTATGTACTTCCATATGCCTTTATATTTCCCTCTTCCTACAGTTCACTTGTTTACTTTAACTTTAATCTGTTTCACCGTCTTTTTTTTCCTGGAGGTTTGACCTGTTATTTGTGTATTGGGTGGGATTGGTCATTATGTAAAGTTAGACACAGGTAAAGTGAGGAGGGGGAGGAGGTCTAGAGGGTCTGAGGAAGGAATTAAAGGAGGGGAGAAGGGAAGGGGGGAAGAGGGAAAGAGAAAAGTCAGCCGCCCTCTGGCCTTTCAGAGGTCAGGGCTCAGACTGTGCTGTGACCTCCTTTCCCTCTAGGCAACCAGCCCAGTGTTTATAAACAAAGTCAGGCAGGACTGTTCTCAAGCACTTCCACAGCTCATATGCAAATTAATGAGGACTCCTGATCACCACTACACCCCCCACCCCCAGCACACAAACACAGATTCACACCAGCCAAACAACCCAGGACCCAAAGCACACCCTTCTCAAAATACAAGTAGCTATTTCCAGCAAGAGTATCCAAAGAACATTTAGAATTCTGTCTGGGGAAGAACTCTAAGAGACAGTGATGCAGATAGGAAAAGACAGACAAGTGGGGAGGAAAAGGAAGAATGAATAACAGTGATTTCATTGAAAAGAAGTTAAAATTGTGATCTTTTAAAACCTAAAACATTTATATCTAGTCAATGGAATTCTGTATAAACTCCGACCACCAAATATAATTATTTTAAAACAAGAC